AACAGCCTTCCTTAGCTAGGACTTTAGAATCTCGTGCCATCATGTATGCTGCGTCTCGGAAACGCGCATACAGGATCCGAGTCGCGTCATACACTTGGCCACACCATGTCAAAACAAAGAAGCAGCTCGATTTACTCTTCGTGTATCCGGTAGCCCTGATGCTGCTTCCAGGGGTCTTGCTGGCGTAGGCATAGCATTGAGTCGTAGGGCAGAACAATCTCTCCTTGACTGGATCCCAGTAGATAGTCGATTGTGCGCTGTCCGACTAAACGGGACAGTAAGGACTCGGAAAGATAGGGACAATCGCCGTTGCCTCTTCATCGTATCTGCCTATGCCCCCACTGAATGCAGTTCAGACGAGGTTAAGGATGAGTTTTACAGAAAGCTTTCGGACCTCCTCCAAAAAGCTAGGCGCTCTGATATAGTAATAATGGCTGGTGACTTTAATGCTCAAGTAGGTAGACTAGGTGAAAAGGAAAGACATCTAGGTGGATGTTATGGTGTAGCGACTGGGAGAACAGACAATGGCGACCGTCTGTTGCAACTATGCTCAGATAACCACCTATTCTTAGCGAACACCAACTTTAGGCATAAGGAAAAGCATCTGTTGACCTGGCGACCTCCAAAGTCGTTTCAACGTTGGACTCAACTAGATCACATCGCTATCAGCCACCGATGGAGGGGTTCGATAGAGGACTGTCGCTCGTTCTGGAGCACATGTCTAGATTCAGATCATGCCCTAGTGCGAGCGCGTATTTGTTTGAAGCTTACTGGGCGTAGGAAAGACACCGTAAGAAAGCCTCTTAGGGTTTTACTTAATGATAATAAGGCGAAAAATATATTTCAGGAACAACTAGAAAGACAGTTAGGCGACCATTTAAGCGATTCCCATCCGGAAGCAAGATGGAATGATGTCAAAAAGGCTATGGAAACAGCAGTGATATCTGCTACTAAGGTTGACCATAAGGCTAGAATGAAGCCGTGGATCTCAGTAGCATCCACCGATCTGATGGATGCCCGAAGACTCATCCCACCTGGCTCTCAACATGATGAAGAGCGTAGTCAACTTAGGCGCAGACTTATAAAAAGCCTACGTAACGACCGCGAACAGTGGTGGGTGGCGAAAGCAAAAGCGATGGAAAAGGCAGCGGCGATCGGCAACAGTAGACAACTTTTCCGCCTTATTAAAGAAACCGGAATTAGGAATCCTAGTGTAAGTGAGACTATCTCAGAAAATGACGGGACTCTCATTTATTCTCAATCCAGGAGACTGGATCGATGGGCAGAACACTTTAGGGATCAGTTCAACTGGCCTCGAACCACTCTTCAGTTACCCACGATCTCCAGTCATCCTGAATGGCAAATCGACGTAAGTCCCCCTAGTCTTAATGAAGTTGAAAAAGCGTTAGGAAATCTGAAGCGAGGACGAGCTGCAGGTCCTGATAGACTGACCCCTGAGATATTTAAGGATGGTGGTCCAGTTTTAGCAGCTAGATTGACTGAGATCTTAGGTAGAATCTGGGAACTGGAAGCAATCCCATCCGACTGGTCTCAATCACTGATTGTCCCAATCTATAAGAAAGAACAGAAGTCTTCTTGTGACAATCACAGAGGAATAAGTCTAACTAATATAGTATCTAAAATATTGGCCTCAGTAATACTTCGACGCTTAACGAAAGCTCGTGAAGAGCAAACTCGGGAAAACCAGTCTGGTTTTCGACCTGGACGTGGCTGTATAGACCACATTTTCACACTACGACAGGTCCTGGAACACAGACACACATTCAGGCGTCCTACAATAGTTGTTTTCCTGGACCTTAAGGCGGCATTTGACTCTGTGGATCGTGAGGTTCTGTGTCAGTGTCTGTCATTGAAAGGTGTACCAAAGAAGTACATTAACCTCATACAAGCTCTTTACTCAAACACCACTGGTCGAGTGAGGGCTTATGGCGAACTGTCACCGGAATTCTCTACATCAAGTGGTGTGCGTCAGGGCTGTCCACTTTCTCCATTCTTGTTTAATTTTATCATAGACATGCTCCTAGACATAACATTGTCCTCGTCTGAATTTTCAGGAGTAGACCTTCTACCAGGTGGCTCGCTTATTGACTTAGAATATGCCGATGACATATTCCTACTTGGTGAAGACGCTGACAAAATGCAGAGTCTTCTGACTACCCTAAGCAACAATGCAAGCATGTTCGGGATGCGGTTTTCCCCGTCGAAATGCAAAACGTTGCTTCAAGATTGGGTTTCATCGATACCTGAACTAGTGATAGGGAGTGAAGTGGTCGAACGTGTAGACCGCTTCACTTATCTTAAGAGTCTCATCAGTGCAGTGCTGATGGCCTGGTGACTGACAAAATCTCAGCTCGGATACAGAAAGCTCGATTGACTTTTGCCAACCTGCGTCACTTATGGCGTAGGCGAGATATCCGTTTGCTGACTAAATGACGAGTGTACTGTGCAGTGGTTCGCTCCGTCTTACTTTATGGCTGTGAAACATGGCCAATGAGAGTAGAAGATACTCGTCGGTTACTGGTTTTCGATCCTAGGTGTCTTCGAAGCATTGCTCGTATATCCTGGGACACCCGAGTGAGCAACGCTGTTATTAGGAAACGGGTACTAGGTAAGGATGGGAGAGCAATAGATGAAATGGTGAAACTTCATCAGTTGAGGTGGTTGGGACACGTGTTGCGTATGCCTAACCACCGACTACCTCGTCGAGCTTTGTTTTGTAGTGTAGGAATAGGTTGGAATAAAGCTAGGGGCGGCCAAACCAAAACATGGCATAAATCCATGAAGTCATTGACGAGTGGACTTAGCCATGTCGATAATTGTCGACTACCTGGTTGGTTTCCGTGAGACAGCAATAATCGATGGTTAGAGACCTTGAATGATATGGCTCGAAACCGTTCGCAATGGCGCCGGTGCATTTATTCTTTGTGTTCTCTCAAATCCTAATCTTCTGGATTCTTCAACACCTCTAGTTTTGGCTTTCTGAACTTTTCTCACTGAATCATACTTCTTGAATAATATCTTCTAATTCTAACCTCTCCGATTACTTCTAATACCTTTACTACCTCTTCTACAATTGGATTTGGGTTGACAATTATATCTCTGTGCTGATGTGTTATGGCGACACGATCTGATGTACTTACGTACGAAGTTCTACGTTGCAACTGACTGACTGACTGGATTCGTCAGCAACTCTACCTTTGTGTGTTTCTAACCTTATCTCACTCACTGAATTATACTTCTTGAATAATAATCTTCAAATTCAAAACAGTGGTTCCCTTTGATAAATTTGAATAGAGAAATAAGAAGACATATTTTGTGAGATAGTACCATTTCGTGCTTTCTCGTCAGTCACATACAAGCAACATGTTATTTGTGTAAATACAGTTTTGAAGATAAGGTCAAAATTTCTTATTTAGCATGGTTCTAGTGAGTGAATGTCATGCTAAATAAGAAAATAGGTAGATGAAAAAGTACATGGTCATTAGTAGTGTACAGCTGATCATTGCGGATGTTGAATGATATGATTTAGAGTCATTCACAATTATTATACAAATCAACCCACACTCTATGTATCTATCGTCTTAGATAATGAGTTTTAAAACAACTAGATAGGTTTTTATTCTGTGATTGATTGACACTGTTACTACTTCTGCTACACTAGCAATTTTGCTTTACTGATATAGTGTAGCAACTTGAACTGGGTTACTTGACTGACTCTAAAAACAACTATCAACTAACATTAAAATCAGAATTTTCAATCAACAAAATGTTTAAACAGTTCTATTGTATGGAGCGGAAACTTGGAGAACTAACAAAACGCCATCATTTAGAAGATACAAGTATTTATTAACAGTTGCCTACTCAAAATACTTTGGATTCATCGGCCGGACACCATAAGCAACAACCTACTGTGGGAAAGAATAGACAAGATTCTAGTGGATAGGATATACATTACGGAAAGTATTCAATTACGTCATAAGACATGCTCTCACTTGGAACCCTCAAGGTCAAAGGAAAAGGAGGCCAGGGAACCTATTGTATCAAGATATGGAGGCAAACATGAGGAGAATGAACAAAAGTTGCACAGAACTGGAAAGGGAAGCCCAGGACAGAGTAGGATGGAGAATACTAGTCCGTGGCCTATGCTCCACTGGGGTTAACGGGTGTGAGTAAGTAAGTACTTGACTAACTGAAAACCAACAGATCTCGTGCAGGAGTACAACTTATACAAGCACTGATTCTGAATTCAATACGGATAAAAGTTTTTAACGGCAGTCATTTCTTGATATTTTACAAAAGTCATTTAATATCATCATTGTTATCTATCTCAATTCTCACAAAAATGCATTCATCTTGGTTTTAGCTACTAATATATATCAACTTTTCACCTTCTACATCGACCAGTAGAATATTAACATTTTAAAAAATGAGCATGAATATGATACTAACTTACTATTTCAAAACTTGCTATTACCTATATAGTATAGAAATTTACACCCAATAGATGTTATTACAAGTAACTATGAAATAATTGAATCAACTATTTTCCAATTACACATGTAAATATTTCACCGAAATCATAATTCAATCATTGTTAGATCACTGCCAGACGGCCATTTTGACATTCTAGTATGGAACTAATCAGTAGTGCACCTCCACGACCTACACACATGGGAATCGAACCCAGGACCTCGGGGGTCTGCACGCAAAACCAAAGGTCGTGGGTTCGATTCCCGCTAGCTTGGGGTCGTGGATACGTATTGCTAATGAGTCGTAAACTAGGATGGTGAAACGGCCGCGCAGTGCTATTGAGGTTTCGAACAATAGTCCTCCAACATTGATATCGACTCATGATTTCCATGAGACCCAACAATCTACACAATCCTATAATATGTTATCTTTAACTGTTAACATTCTTCAATAACCTATTTGTTGAATTCAATTACTTTTTTTCCACATTTAAACATATTATATTTTAGATGTACCCGCACCAAGAATGATTACATTAGAACGTCAATTATATCAAAGTGTATTGATTAGTTGGAAACCGCCTGAAATGAATGCCTTAAATGAAAATAAAATTGTATCCGCTTATCACATCTACGTAGATGGACAATTTCGGCTAGCTGTAATGGCAAAAGAAAAAACTCGTGCACTCATAGATAATGTCGATGCTGATAAAGTAAACTAACTATTGTTTGTTATATTACGATTATTATTATTATTATTATTATTATTATTATTATGGAATGAACTTGTGGTGGCCAAATATCTGCGTGTTCTTAAGCTCGGTGGTAATTAGCTCGTCTAGACAATCGTAACACTAAATAGCGTCTGACGGTTTTTAAATCAGAAGTCATGAATTCGAAGTAATGAATTCGAAGTAATGAATACGTTTATTTTTTTGGACACACCACAAAGCAAAGTTGAAAAGCAGCGAATAAAGTGTACGAAACGATGTGAATTGGAGAAGGCTAATGAGCGAACTCCTAGGATTACAATACGAATGAATGGGTGAGGGAAGAGAATGAATAGGAGAAGCGCGTTGGAGAAGGATAATGAGCCAAGTCCAAGAGATAGAGAGTGACTAAGACTATATAGTCAGACATATATAAGACAGACATGCAACAATTTAAATAAGTATGCACACACATGAATAAAAGCGACGAATGATTGACAAGGTCAAATGACAAGTGGAACATGTCATGTGAGCTCATACAAACCAGACGAATGGTACATATAAATTGTTGCAATACAAATTGGCTTGGTTGGTTAAATAAATTAATCGAAAGGGCTTAACCAAATTAAATGTAAGCGAACTGGAATATATGTATGTGGAGGCACTACAAACTATTTCCTATTTTGAAATGATCAATGTTAAGCCATCCATTGAAGACTTGCAAAAACATTGAGAAGTTGTTTTATCTGAGTGTAAAGACTTATCAGGAGTGTTTATCTATGATCGTATATGCAACTGTTCAGTGTTCTCAAGCTTTCAACGGTGATCTAACATTGATCAGTTTATAATTTTGATCAAATTCAATAATCTTCACAATTCTAGACTGATGTTTGGTAGTTTTTAGTGGTTGCCTTAATAATAACCTACGATCTGACTCCAGTTTTGACGGAATGATCGAGTATGCGATCAAGTAAATCTTTTCCTTCATTTTTTTCGTATATCATACGTAGGTGAACGCGTATGATCAACTGGCACAGAATGGATTGTTTGTAACCATGAATCGATCAATGTTAGACCATCATTAGAAGGCTGGAAGCACTGGATGGCCGTTTCGTCCTCGTATAGGACTCATCAGCAGTGCGCACCCGCGACTACTGCGCCCCGCAGGACTCGAACCCAGGACCTTCGGTATTGTGCGCGAGCGACCCAACCGTTAGACCACTGGGCCGGCATCTAACGGCGTTAATGTTTAACTTGACCAAATCACGGAGTTGCGCAACCTCATACCCTGTATACATCCGAACAGGTTTGAACTTCACTGGTCACGACTTCCCACCAGAACTCGGAGAATATTCATCACCAAGCTAGTTACTAGTTACTGGACGGCCGTTTCGTCTTGGTATGGGACTCATCAGGTGCTTCCAGGTTTCTAATGGTGATCTAACATTGATCGATTCATGGTTACAAATAAAACTTAACAATCTTTACAACAACCCCGGAATGCAGAACGGATTGATCGACTTGTTCAAAGGTGGGCTACAAACCTTATTGGTTGCTTTCATATTATGAATTTATCACAATATAAACGTAATCATCAAGATTTTGATGAAAACGAATATTTCAAACAATTTCTAACGATAATATTTTCTTCCTAATCATTACTTTGGATGATTTCAAGTCATTGGTTTAATACTATTCAATGCTATAAGATGTGTTGAAATGAATTTCTTGAACGTCTTTAATTTGTTTAACTGATGTCTGTTTAGATCATCTTCATAGAATTGAACATAAATCATTTTTCTTGTTTTTATTAATGTGATCTGTTTAGAAGATACTTAACAATTTCTTAAAAAAAAACCATTTTAAATATTCAGATCCTAAAAATCTCTGGTACGATTGAAATTTTGGGGCAGAGTTTTAGAGGCTTTTGCGTTTTTACACATTTGAAATCATCAATCAATCATTGTTAGACCACCAGCATTAGAAACCTGGAAGCACTGAAACACGGCCGTTTCGTCCTTGTATGGGACTCATCAGCAGTGCGCATCCACGACTTCTGCGTTCGCCTACAATGCCGAAGGTCCCGGGTTCGAATCCTGCGAGGAGCAGGAATCGTGGATGCGCACTGCTGATGAGTCCCATACCAGGACGAAACGGCCGTCCAGTGCTTCCAGGTTTCTAATGCTGGTGGTCTAACAATGATTGATTGATGATTTCAAATACGATTGAAATATTTTATACTTCTCATAAAAGATGTTCAATGTTCAGAATGCTCAACAAATACACATAAAGTGCAGTGAAAATTTCGATCACTATGAATTGAATATAGAATATAGAATATTATTTGATAATCATTAACTACAATCTGAGCAAATTACAACGTGAATTAGTGTGAAAACATTCATATTATTAAAAAAAATTTAAAATTTCTTTCCTTCATGTATGTAGTTAATTTAAACAAACACTACTGAAATCTTGAATCAAGCCAAAGCCTGAAAGCTCTAGACAATTTTTTCGTCTTGGTATGGGACTTGTCAGTAGTCAGTATCTATTACCTTGCACCCGTGAATCGAATGCAGGAATTTTGGTCTCATGTGCTAACGTTTAATCTATATACACAGTAGATGACGGTCACAATATTGTGGATTTGTTGAAGTTAGACATGTACATCCGTTGTCTAGCTTAGATTCATTCAAATATCTCCACAAACGTACAGAGATTTTAATTCTGTCGAGTACTTGTATTCTGTGACCAACTATTTAACTGATTCAATATATATGTAAGGCCATTTCGGAGATATCGTTTGAGAACATAGAAGAGATAAAGTAATCGAAAGAGCTTTGAAGTGATTATTTTGACTTGCAGGTTTACTCATCACAGATGGTTACATATTCATGGACACATTTGAAGCTCTTGAATCGGATTTATTTGTCAAGTCGTTAGTGCTTACAACTAGATCCCATGTTAAAACGAAACACCTGTCCAGTATTATCTCAATCTTTGATGTACATAGCTTAAAAATCTTCAGTTTGCTCAAGATCATTGATGCATATTGCTAAGTAGTTCTAACGAGTACAATAAAATGACCAAAGCTTCCTATCAATGACTTCCGAATGTAGACTTGATTTAGTGTTCACGCCTATGAAGCAAGAACTTAACAATACACATCTTCATTGTTTTAACACAACTCTCTCTAGTGTGATCCCCTCTTTCTTTATTTTGAAGGATGCTTTGATGATCTTGACTGCGTGAGATATCCATCACACAAGTGCATTTTGTGTTTCATTGGATAGCATTAGTGCAACCTCTTGCGTATTTGAGGCAATTTCTTGTACATGGCTGGATTATAGCAACACTCCTATCGAAGCTGGTCTTTTTTCTATCCAGTCTGCATCTGGTCCTCACAGTCTCCAACATTGTGCAAATATTCCATGTATCTATATATTAATTGTTGATGTGATTGTTAGAAGTGACATGTGTCTAATAACTTTCGAAGGAATTCAATTTTTTTTTATCACGAGGCATCAAAGCTACTCTAAATGAAAAGATTGCAGGGCGGAATTTAAATAGTTGTATTTGAGGGACCTGAAAAGGAAGACAGATTAGTGTTGGTCGTAGAGACCTGGGAGCGTGACCGCAGAGTCCGAGGGACAACTGGTTGAAGCCAGTCACGCACGGCCTTTTGATGAAAAGTTTTTTGAGTATTAGCTGCGCCCTTAAAAGCCCTTAGTAGGCACCCTTACTGACGGAGACGGACATCCGTGAATTAGGGTGTGTGACATTTTTAGGGTCGACCTTTTCTAACCCTTCCGTCCTTGTGAGAAGGCAGCATCGTTGCAGATGCTGGTTGTCCGAAGGAAACACCTTACTGCTGTCACACCCCTCTGCAGTCAGCAGTACAACTTCGCCCTTAGACCTTGAGTAGCTGCTTTTAGTCTCATCGTTCTCCAATCGACCTGTTTGGAATGGTAGAACCTTCAGGAACATATGTTCCAGCCAATATAGCTTGATTGAGTCATCACGATAGGCAAGCCCGACAACCACGTCAAGGTAGCAGCTTCGGTTGGGATATATAAACCTAATTTCGTGTTTATCCATATGGACCAAAAACTCATCGATACACAACTCCTGTCGATTCTGTTTGATGTCATGCTTTGCAATTACCGTCCAACAGTATCCAGCTTATTATTTTTTTCTAATTTTTTCTTTATCTACTAGCCTCATCGAATTTCAATTCGATCCATTTCATCACATGGTCAATCAAAAGATGCACAATGTACATTAGTTGTAGGACGTGGTATGACTGCTACACCTGCTCGATTGAAAGCTACACAAATCGGTACAAAATCAGCTAAATTAAGTTGGATTCCAGGCAATAGTAATTATTATCATCGTGTTTATTTGAATGAATCATTATTGCATGTATGTAAACCTGGTGTATACAAATTACGTTTAACTGGTAAGTCGTGGCTTTATTTATGCAAAAGTAGCAATTAAAACAGAATGTTTCATGACTGACATCAGTTCATATTATGTTATTGTACCAATCTAAGTATATGTTGTGTTACTTGAGTTTTAAGCTCATGTTTTGGTTATAAACGTTGAAGAAATGGTTATTGAAGCTTCAGTTAGTATCTAGTTATAACATATTCATAAAAAGAATGATAGACAAAGATGGAAAATGAAATACTTCATCAATCGTCTTCAGTGAGTACTACTGTGGTGTGTGCTACTTATACGAACGATATAAGTAGTAGTAGAAGAAGGGACGTGAAAGAAGTAGTCTCACGGTCAGAAGAGGAAAACGGAAAGCAAATGGAGCAAAAGCAAGAAGTAAATGGAGTAGTACCAACAGAGGAAGGAAAGGAAGCAACAACAGGAATGGAAGAAGGATGGAGCGTTGGAAGTCACGACTCAAAGATGGTGTGCAAATAGAGTACTGTTCAATGTAATGTTTTCGTTTTTAATTGACTCAGAGTGCGTTTGCTTCAGTCTTCTCACTACTTCACACCTGAACAGGGTTGCATTCCATCGGTCACGACCTTTCACTAAACCTCGGAGAAACTTTCTCACGTAGCTAGTTACTAATAAGCACATGATAATTTTCACTAGAGGATGGCAGAGATTGTTGAGTTACTGTGAAATTAATGGTCCAGAGGTTAAGTGCTCACGCACCATACCGACAGTGCTAGGTTCGATTCATGCGAGTAGCCAGGAGTTGTGAATGAGCACTGCCACTGATGAGTCTCATGCAATGACCAAACGACCAGTCAGTGTTTCTAGGTTTCTAATAATGATCTAACATTGATCGATACAGTGTAACTCAACACTCTCCACGAAAAATACACTAATTATTCTGCATTCTAGCGTTTACCATTGTTACCAATGCACGTAAACACGTCATTTGATGTGCATAAATTATTACGAGTTTACCTTAGTCGGAAAACCAGAGCGAGGATCGAGGATCAGGCGACACAATCGGCTACTCTAATCCGAGTATCCCAAACTCCCATTGAGTAAAAGAAGAAGACTTGATATGAAGTAGAACATGTATTCTACAAGCAACCGGAAAGTACGAGATCCGAGTCCAGAAGAGAATGACGATTCCGGACCGAGTCCTAAAACGTTACAGATAATGCGAGGTCGAAAAGGAAACAACATTGAAGTCTGTGACATTGATAGATAAGATGACCATAATATTAACCTGTAGGAATTGACCAATAGAATCAAACTTACAAAAATAATTCGTTTAGAATATTGGATGAAAATCCTATCAACCATCTAAAAACAACAGAAAATTGCATTGAATCAAACTGCAAAATCAAAAATGTGAAAGATTGTAACAAAATTCGCTTTGAGATTCATCTCAATGCGAACTTAGTAGATAGATTGCTTACTTACTTATTTACTTACGCCTGTTACCCACAATGGAGCATACGCCGACCACCAGTTTTCTCCAATCAACTCTGTCCTGGGCTTCCCTTTACAGTCCTGTTCAATTTTTGTTCATTCTTCTCATATCTTTCTCTATTTCACGGCGTATTGTTTTCCTTGGTCTCCCTCTTTTCCTTTAACCTTGAGGGTTCCATGTGAGGGCTTGTCTCGTGACGCAATCCAGTGCTTTTCGTAGTGTGTGTGTCCTATCCACTTCCACCGCTTCTTCCTGATTTCCTCCTCCACTGTAATCTGGTTTGTTTTGTCCCACAGTAAAATGATGCTGATTGTGTCTGCCTAACGAATCCGAAGTATTTTGCGTCGACAACTGTTAATAAATACTGATATCTTTTGGATGATGGCTTTGGTAGTTCTCCAAGTTTCCGCACCATACTGTAGAACTATCTTTTACTGATGCCGAGCACCTCGAGGTTGTATCTTTTCATTTCTGCCGCAACTTGAAATAGTCTTCCAGTCTCCCACAATGTACGAACGTTCCATGTACCTAAAAAAATGGTTGCTCTGGTTGTCAGAAAAGGCATTGGCCCCGTGACTTTCGAGGGAACTCGGCTTTCATCAGGCGACGTCATAATTCTTCTTCCAACTCCCAGGGCAGAGTTAAAATGGTTTGAATCAGTTTTTCTGGTTAGCGTTTTCTTGGCAAGTTAGTTTTTGACGGAACGGGGGCGCCAACCCCATGTCCAACCCATCCTTCTTTATCCGGGCTTGGGACCGGCAGTAGCCCCGAATGGTTTACAGGCGGAGTTAGTAGGTAGATATTGAAATGAATAAATACGAATATTCATGTTTAGCAGAATATTTTGCATTCAACTGGAATAATAATTCAGTATTATTGAAGAAGTTGGACTGAGTCATGTTGGTAGATGTATGCTACCTGGTTGGAGTCCGCGAGACGATGGTAATCGATGGTTAGAGACCTTGAACGATATGGCTCAAAATCGTTTGCAATGTCGCAAGTGCATCCACTCTTTGTGTTCTCTCTAATTCTAATCTTCTGAATTCCTCATCGTCTCTGCCTTTCTCTTTCTGAATTTATCTCACTGAAATCTACTTCTTGAATCATGTCTTCGCACTCTGATCTTCTCCATTACTGCTAATACTTCTATTATTGCTATCACTGTTGGATTTGAACTGACAGTTGCGTCTCTGTGCTGACGTGGTATGGCAACACTGAACTGATGTACTTACGTACGAAGTTCTGTGTTGTATCTGTCTGTCTGTCTGTCTATCTTATTGAACAGGTATTTCTTGTCAATGTGTTGATCATCATTGCATGATACAAATATATAATTTTACAATAAAAGCCAATACGAAAAAATCGATAGTTGAAAAAATTAAAATTTTCATGATAAAATAAACGATGATTGAATTATACAATCAAATATGGTGGATATACGTTTGGTTGATTAAAACATCTTTTTAAAGGGCTCGTTTTAAGCTCGAAGTAGCGCTCACCATTTTAATGACCCGCGACTTGACTCCAGTTTTGACGAATAATCGAGTACGCGACGAAATAAATCTGTATATCATACTTAGGCAAATACGGTTTGTGTGACGGTTGTAACAAGAATCCGAATACGGTGTTGCGGATTCATTTACGAACACAGACATGAGAAAGTGTGATTGTCATCACAAGAAGACTTTTGTCCTTTCTTATAAATTTGGACAGTCAGGGATTGAGGCCAGGTCGATGGGATTGTGTCCAGTTCCCAGATTCTACCTATGATCTCAGTCAATCTAGCTGTTAAAACTGGACCACCATCCTTAAATATCTCAGGAGTTAGCCTATCAGGACCTGCAGCTCGTCCTCACTTCAGATTTCCTAACGCTTTCTCAACTTCATGTAGACTGGGAGGACGTAAATCGATTTGCCATTCAGGATGACTGGAGATCGTGGGTAACCGAAGTATGGCTAAAGGCCAGAATAATTGATCCCTTAAGTGTTCTGCACATTGATACAGTCTCCTGGATTGAGAATGAATGATACAATCATCCTTTTCTGAGATAGTTTCACTAACAGATGGATTTCTAATACCGGTTTCTCTAATAACGAGGAACACCTGTTTATTGTTGCCTATTGCCGCTGCCTTTCCCATCGCTTTTGCTTTCGCCACCCATCACTGTTCACGGTCATTTCGTAGGCTTTTTATAAGTCTGCGCCTAAGCTGACTACGCTCTTCATCATGTTCAGAACCAGGTGGAATGAGTTTTCGAGCATCCATCAGTTCGGTAGATGCTGCTGAGATCCACGGCTTCATTCTAGCCTTATGGTTAACCTTACTAGCAGATATCACTGCTGTTTCCACAGCCTTTTTAATATCATTCCAACCTGCCTCCGGATGGGAATCGCTTAAATAGTCGCCTAACTGTCTATCTAGTTGCTCCTGAAGCTAGATTCATACGAACACAGACATGAGAATGAAAAGTGTACAAGCACAAAAGAGAAGCAAACCGGAGAAGGCGACTGAGAGCCAACTCTGGTGTACTAAAGAATGGCAATTATCGTCTAGACACATGTAATAAGCGAATAAGCATGCACACAAACACACACACACACACAATCATTAAAGTTAGTATAATGAATAAATGTTGAATAAATGTTACATATCCCACTATTTTAGTTGAATTAGAAAGTATATATTGATGACTTAGTGATATATTGGTTATTTATTGGTGTACAAATTGTTTCAACAAACCCCAGTAGACGTAAACAGTGTATCATCCTATCTAAAATGATCATTCAAACGCTTCAGTGAATACAATTCAACATGCTTCTAGATGACTTGTACCTGAGTTTTAAAACCTCTCTCATTTCATCAATCGATTGCAACGTAGAAGTTGATACCTACTTAGATTGGTTCACGTTTTCACACCATATTGGCACACAGAACTGGATTGGTCAATGCCAATCCCAAAGTAGGAAAGCTGGCAGCAATATTAGCGGTAGTGGAGAAGGTTTGCAAATGAAGAAAAGTTTCGAGAAATTATCACACCAGTGAAATAAAATTTCTATAAAAACAGCAAATAAAATATTATGTGGAATTCAAAGAAAAAATATAGAATTTGAGAGAAGACAAAGAATGAATTCATCTGCGTTACGGAGAATGATTCTGATCTATATCATTGAAAATCTCTAACCATTGGTGACTTTTGTCTCGTGGACCCCAACCAGGTAGCCTAAATCTGCCAACATGACTCAGTCCAATAGTCAGTGACTTCATGGATATGTGTCCTGTTTTGATTTGGCCGCCCCTAGCTTTTGACTAACCCATCACTTCACCACAAAACATCGCCGTTCGAAGCGACGGTTGGTCAGTCATTCAGTCAGTCAGGTGCAAAGTAGAATTTTGTACGTAAGTACATCAGTTCACGTCGCCATACCACATCAGCACAGAGATATAATTGTCAATTCAAATTCAATAGTAGAAGAGGTAGTAAAGGTATTAGAAGTAATCGGAGAGGTTAAGATTAGAAGATATTATTCAAGAAGCATGATTTAATGAGAAAACTTTAGAAAGACAAAACTAGAGGTGTTGAAGAATCCAGAAGATTAGCATTTGAGAGAATACAAAGAATAAATGCACCGGCGCCATTACGAACGATTTCGAGCCATGTCATTCAGAGTCTCTAACCATCGATTATTATCATCTCGTGGACCCCAACCTGGTGTAGTCGATAATTACCGACATGGCTAAGTCCACTTGTCAATGACTTCATGCATTTCTGCCATGTTTTGCTTGGCCACCCCTAACTTTCTTCCAACCTACTCCTACACTACAAAACATAGCTCATCGAGGCAGTCGGTGGTTAAGCATACGCAGCACATGTCTCAACCACCTCAACTGATTAAGTGTCACTACTGCCTCTATTGATGTGCCATTCTTACCTAGCACCCGTTTCCTAATAACAGGATTGCTCACTCGAGTGTCCCAGGATATACGAGTAATGCTTCGAAGACACCTATGATCGAAAATCAATAACCGACTAATATCTTCTACTCTGACTGGCCATGTTTCACAGCCATAAAGTAAGACAGAGCGAACTACTGCACAGTACACTCGTCCTTTAATCAGCAAACGAATATCTCACCTACGCCATAAGTAACGCAGGTTGGCATAAGCCAATCAGTGGTTGGTCATGAGTAACACACATATCCCAATCACTTCAACGGATAAAGATTCACTACATCATCTATTGATTTGCCATCTTTACCTAGTACCTGTTTCTTAACAACAGCATTGCTTACTCCATGGTACCACCATAGACGAGTGATGCTTCAGAGATATCGATGATCGAATACGAACCAGTAAACTTGGAGAGCGAGTAGATAGCTGACATTTATTAACAAAGCTTAGTCATTAATACCTCTACTATCTTTATCACTATGGGATTTGATTTGACAGTTGCGTCTCTGTGCTAACATGGTATGACAACATGAACTTAGGTACATACGTACAAAGTTCTGCGTTGCAACTGACTGACTAACTGACTGACTGAACATACCTGTCTCATTGCCATTGATGTCATGAATTTGTGCCATTATTTCAAGTCGGCCACCTCTTCATGATCGTCTTCTCGTTAGGGTTAAGTATGATAAATATTGAAAGAGAAATCATTGAACGATCATTATTCTTTTCATATTACATAACAACATTAAACTCTCTTTTATTTTTATTTTTAATTTCTTCAAAGTTAATTAAATCGAGTAATTATTGACAATTTGAAAATATATATATATACGTATTCAACATTCAATGCTTTTGTTTTGTTTTAATTATTGAATTATTTTTGACCAGAAAACAAAATAAAAAAAATAAGAAACATCTTAGTTTGATTTCAAATTAAAAAAGACATCTTATTTTTGAATAATCAATCAATCAATCAAAAAGAATTTTGACATAATTACTTCATTCATGCATCAATAAATATGCTTATATGTACAGGAGGTCACTGTGATGAGTTAAAAGGATTTCCTACAAAAAAAAACTGTATAAAAACTGTATACATTTCCATCCGTATGTTTTTCTTATCAAATACAACAGTAGAAAAACTGCGAACTTGATGTGACCATTTCTATGATGTGCATTATGGGGTTGTGAAGATTGTTAAGTGACACATTTTTTGAAACCATGAATCGATTAATGTTAGACCACCATTAGAAGAAACCTGGAAGCACTGTAACAAAGCCGTTTCGTCCTGGTATGGGACTCATCAACAGTGCGCATCCACGACTCCTGCACCCCGAAGGATTCGAACCCGGGACCTTCGGTCTTGCGCGCGGACGACTAACCTCTCGACCACTGATCTAACGTGTTAATGTCTAACTTGATCGATTCACAGAGTTGCGCAACCTCATACACAGTCTTCGGTAGTTACTGTCTACACTTGAACAGGTTGAACTTCACTGGTCATGTCTTCCCACTCACTAGAACTCGGAGAAGATTTCTCATGAAGCTAGTCACTAGTGAGCACAGGTAATTTGCATTAAGGGGTTGTGAAGATTGCTAAATAACACATTTTTGAAACGAGGGTGCAGGAGTCGTGGATGCGCACTGCTGAGGAGTCCCATACCAGGACGAAATGGCCGTATTTCATCGCTTCCACGTTTCTCTAATAGTGGTCTAACATTGATCGATTCTATGATGTATCTTTTCTTGCGAAGAATCCATCCGATATCATTGGTAGATGGAAATGTTCTTGAGAATTTTTCATCTAAATTGGGCTAAAAGTAATTTTTTAGTCAGGCACCTATGAAAAAAACATTAAAACTTTATAGTCGATGGTTATGGAGATTGTTGAGTCTCATTGAAGTCATGAATCAATCATTTTTTTACCTTTATTGGAAGAAACCTGGAAGCTCTGGGACAGTTGTCTCGTTCTACTATGGGACTCATCAGTAGTTTGCATCCACTATAAGTCTCAAACTAGACTGAAACGACCGTCCAATGCTTTCAGGTTTCGCCCCAATGGTGGTCTAACATTTATTGATTGATTCATAATTTTGAAACATTGAGACGATCAAATAATGTTTAAATTTCTTTTCTTTTATCATCTTTCGGTGATTTTGTTTTTTTTCCGGTAATAACAAATACTACTTTTTGATAGGATATTGATCAAATATCCTAAGAGAATTATTTTTGTAAGTCTAAGTCTATTGGTCAACATTATGTCGATGACATTGTCCTACTTGGTGAAGACGCTGACAAAATGCAGAGTCTTCTGACCACCCTAAGCAACAATACAAGCATGTTCGGAATGCGGTTTTCCCCCTCGAAATGTAAAGTGTTGCTTCAAGATTGGGTTGCATCGGCACCTGAACTAGTGATAGGGAGTGAAGTAGTCGAGCGTGTAGCCCAATTCACTTATCTGGAGAGTCTGATCAGTGCTGATGGCCTGATGACTAACGAAATCTCAGCTCGGATACATAAGGCTCGATTGGCTTTTGCCAATCTGCGTCACCTATGGCGCAGGCGATATATCCGTTTGCTAACCAAAGGACGAGTGTGCTGTGCAGCAGTGCGCTCCGTCCCACTGTACGGATGCGAGACTTGGTCGTTAAGAGTAGAGGACGTCCGTAGGTTTCTCATCTTCAATCATCGATGTCTCCGAAGCATTGCTCGTGTATCATGGAACGAAAGAGTGAGCAATGCTGTCACTAGGAAACGAGTTCTAGGTAGGGATGGCAGATCAATAGGTGAAGTGGTGGAACTTCATCAGTTGAGGTGGTTGGGACATGTGTTACGTATGCCTAACCTCCGACCGCCGCGACGAGCTATGTTTTGTGGTGTAGGAATAGGTTGGAAGAAAGCAAGGGGCGGCCAAACCAAAATATGCCACAAATCCATAAAGTCACTGACAAGGGGACTGAGTCATGTTGGTAGATGTAGGCTACCTCATTGGGGTCCGCGAGACGAAATTCACCGATGGTTAGAGACCTTAAACGACATGGCTCAAAATCGTTTGCAATGTCGCGGGTGCATCCACTCTTTATGTTCTATGAAATTGTAAGCTTCTGCATTCCTCATAATCTCTATCTGTCTTCTTCTAAATTTACCTTACTGAATTATACTTCTCGAATCATATCTTCGCTCCCTAATTGTCTCTATTACTGCTAATACTTCTATTATTGTTATCACTGTTGGATTTGAACTGACAGTTGCGTCTCTGTGCTGATGTGGTATGGCAACCTCAACTGATGTACCTATGTACGAAGTTCGGCTTTGTATCTGTCTGTCTGGTCAACATTATGGTCATCCTAACTGTCAATGTCACGCACTTCAATGTGGTTTCCCGTTGGTCGTCCTGATTATCAGTGTTCCTGGTCCGGGATCCTGATACTCATCTGGACTCGGACTTCGTAATTTCTGGATGTTTGTAGAATACAGCTTCTACTTCATATCATGTCTTCTTCTTTTACTCAATGGGGAATTAGGATTAGAGTAGACTGTCGTGTCACCGGATCCTCAACCTTCGCTCTCGTCTTCCGATTAAGGTAAACTCATAATAATCCAAGCCTATCAAATGACGTACATGTGTAACACTTTTATACTATCCGACAATAACAAACAATATCGAGTGTTATTGACTTCTTAATATAAACAATTGTCTACCGATTCTCTCTCCAACTATATAAAACAAAATCATATTGTACGTTGAACTAAATTACTGAAACTAATGTCTACAATAAACCTTGATTCGATTATCGACACAGATTACAACACAATCCAAATAAAACATCTTCACATCATTAGGATGCAAGTGTTACTGTCAGAATCAATTCGCTGGTAATTCATTCATTCATTGATATTGTAGTGAACGAGAACACAGGTGGGGCAACCGAATTGTATTTAACGAAAATTACAACAGAGTTACTCAGTAAAATTGGAAAACCATATCGTAAACGGTTAATTTGCAAATCTTCAATCCATCATCAATCCATTGTTTGACATTTCACTGTTCATGCGTTTCATACAAATTCCATTGTGTTCTAACTCTTCCTTTCTTGATCTTCCCCCATCTTCTGCTGCTGCCAGACATTACGTTGACACACGCGTTATATACTACTTATAAGTAGCTCACACCACAATATCATTATTAATTATTGATTAGTGATTCTTTTTTCTCTTATTGATTTATTTTTTTTTTAAAAAAAATTAGATCTACCACCGGATACTTTGCATCAAGTATGTATTCAGGCTTTCGCATCACCAGTTAGTATACAAGAATCCGCTGACCAAACACCACCTTGGATTATTAATACAACATGGAGTGGTGTTTATACACAGAAACTGGCGGCTTTCATTGAATTTCGTACATTACCTATAGGTAAGTTTTTACTTTATCAGAATCTTGATGAAAGCCCATTTTTTTTCTTCTAGTATGAGATATAGAGTTTAGAATTGATAGAAAAAAAAAATGATCAGATATCATACTTACTCATTTATTGATTTTTAGTTGTCGTATAAAAGAGATTGATTCACAATTTCGTGTTTAAAATTATTTTTCAATCATCAACTTAAGTCAGTCACAATAGTTCCAGTTGTTATGACTTTTTTTCATCCTGATACCTAAATTTTAATGTAATCGACATCGATTTTTAAAAATCAATACCAAATAATTCGTAGTGGGGTCCGCGAGACGAAAGTCATCAATGGTTAGAGATTTTGAACGACATGGCTCAAAGTCGTTTGCAATGGCGTAAGTGCATCCATTCGCTTAGCTCTCTCAAATCCTAATCTTCTGGATTCGTCAGCATCTCTACCTTTATCTTTCTAACCTTATCTAACTGAATTATACTTCTTGAATAATATCTTCGAACCCTAGTCTTCTTCATGACCATTAATACCACCTCTACTATCTTTATCACTATGGGATTTGATTTGACATTTGCGTCTCTGTGCTAATGTGGTATGGCAACCTGAACTTATGTACATACGTACGAAGTTCGACGTTGCAACTGACTGACTGACTGTGGCTAATTAGAAAATAGGCCAGCTAAAAAGTTGAGTAGTACGCTTTAGAATGTGTATATATTTCTCTTACTAATTCAACTGGTTGACTTCTACTAACTAAAGAATCAAGCCAAAGCACTTTTTAGGCATAGGTGGATGTTGTATTGTTTTCATATTTAGTGGTTTTTTTGTAATGAAAAAGTGTTTTCATGATAGGGTTATAGAGATCGATGAGTTACTTTTTTAGTCAGTCAGTCATAAATGCTCTAACATGTAGTTTAGAACGGGGCTTCAAGAGACTAGGAATAACATTTCGAGGACTCGAATCGTTTGCAGCAGAGGTTCATGGAGATAAAGGAATGTGAGTAGAGTTAGTCGTAGAGATAAGAGAGATAATAGGGGGTGTGGGAAGGATTTGATTTCGACAATTTCGGTATCGCGTGCTGTTACGGGTGTGAGGGCGGTTGTCACTTCCCGGCTGCCCACACCGTGTAAGGTTGTTTTTTTAGGAACCTGAAAAGGAAGGTAGATTAGTGTTGATCTTGGAGACCTTGAATCGTGACCGCGAAGCCCAAGGGACAACTGCTTGAGGCCTTTTTATAAAAGGTTTTTTGAGTATCAGCTCCGCTCTTAAAAACCCTTAGTGGGCACCCTTACCGCCGGAGACGGAAATCCGTGAGGTAAGGTGAGGTGTGACATTCTTAGGGTCGACCTTTTCTAACCCTTCCTCCTTCCTTGTGAGAAGGCGGCATCGCTGCAGATGCTGGTTGTCCGAGGAAAACACCTTACTGCCGTCACACCCCTCTGCAGTCAGCAGTACGAATTCACCCCCAGACCTTGAGTAGCTGCTTTTAGTCTCATCGTTATTCAATCGACCAGCCGAGCGTGGTAGAACCTTCAGAAACATATGTTGTAGCCAATACAGCTCGGTTGGATCATCACGATAGGCAAACACGACCACCACGTCAAGGTAGCAGCTACGTCGGGAGTTACTTTTTGAAATCATGAGTTGATCATTTTAGACCACCATTGAAGATCTGAAAGCACTAAATAGCCGTTTCACCACCCTCGTATAGAACTCATCAGCAGTGGGCATTCACAACTCCGGCCCAAGGGAATCGAACTCAGAACCTTCCGTGGTGCACTCGAATGCTTACCCTCCAGAACACTGAGCCGGCGGCATCCAACTGTAATAATCTCTTACTTCAATCAATCCATGGTCTTTCGCAACTGCATGCAAGAGTATTAAAATAAAACTTTATAAAAATAGATCACTGAATAGTAATCAATGTCACATGATCCTTTGACAACACTAATTCAATATTGTTTAAATGATTTTTAACAAGTTACCAAAAAAATAACGAGAATTTAACGAGACAGTATATGTTAGCTGGAAGTAATGTTAATAAAACATTCAATCTAAGTTTTAAACTACTCAAAACTCATAAAGTGTGATTATTTGAAATTGTTATAATGCTGCTACGTATAGCTATTCGAATCCTACCGAAGTCCGAATTCAAATATTCCAATACGACCCAAATACTATTACCGAATCTCCTACATATCAGAACGCAACACCGCTGGATGGAGTTGTTTATTGGGTCGAGTACAGAAGAGAGGTAGGCAGGAAGGAACGGAATCATGAAGACTTACAAATTGTGCGTATTTATACATTTAAGTCGAATAGGAAAGAGTATCGAAGTCTGTGACATTGACAGTTTAGGACGACCAATAGGAAAGAACATTTGAAATGACATTGACAGTCCGGATGACCAATGAGAGACAACATTGAAGTATTTGACTTTGACAGTTAAAACGACCATAATTTTGACCAATATAAATCGACCAATAGGATTATACTTCCAAAAATAGTACTCTCAGGATATTTGGATATTATCCTAACAGAAATCCTAAGGAGGAAATTAGGCTTCTATAGGTATTCGATTGTCGATTACTTACTAATTTACCTACTTATAGTTGTGACATTCACGGAGAATAGGCCACCGACTAGCATTCTACAAACTAATCTCTCCTGGACGTTCCTCCCTAGTTCCATCCAATTGTTGTTCATTCTCCTCATGTCTGTCTCTATTTCTCGGCATAATGTGTACTTTGGTATTCCTCTTTTCCTTTGAACTTGAGGAACTTGAACTCGCTGTGTAATGTAGAAAATAAGTGAAAGGACAAAGGAAAATAGAAGATTATCAAATTCTATCTACGAACCGATTAGTGTTAGACCAGCATTAGAAACCGGGAAGCATTGGACGGCTGTCAAGTCTTAGAAATGGGACTCAGTAGTGGTGTAACTCCAAGGTACGGTACACGGAACCCAAAACCTACGGTGTTAATATCTAACTTCAATCAATAACACAATATCGCGCTTCTGTATGTAACTGCCTCACATGGAACACGGTTAAACTCCATTGGTCACAAACGTCTCACCAAAAACCATGAGAATTACTGCACGAAGCTAGTCAGCAATGAACACATGAACTCAGTGAAACGCAACAATCTCCAGAACTCTATTAGTGAAAACTATTGATTTACGAATTGATCAAACTAGACATTAACACCGTGAGATACCGGCTCAGTGTCCAGAGGTTAGATGTTTGCACGCAAGACCGAAGGTCCTGAGTTCAAATCTTGCGGGGTGCAGGAGTCGTGGATGCGCACTGCTGATGAGCCCCATACCAGGACGAGACGGCCGTCCAGTGCTTCCAGGTTTCTAATTGTGGTCTAACATTGATCGATTCATGGTTTCACAAGATGTGTAACTTAACAATCTTCACAACCCCGAAATACAAGTACCTGTGCTCACTAGTGACTATCTTCGTTAGGAATCTTCTGTCGAGTTCTAGTGGGAAGTCGTGACCAGCGAAGTTCAACCTGTTCGGGTGTAGACATTAATTATCGAAGACTGTGTATGAGGTTGCGCAACTCCGTGAATTGATCAAGTTAGACATTAACACCGTTAGATACCCCGGCACAGTGGTCCAGAGGTTAGGTGTTCGCTTACAAGAACGAAGGTCCCAGATTCGAGTCCTGCGAGGTGCAGCCTTTCAATGCTTCCAGGTTTCTTCTAATACTGGTCTAACAATGATCGATTTATGGTTTCAAAATATTTATTTAGTGACAGTTTTATTATTTCTTTTTATCTTTAATGAGTAAATATTTGCAGTACACACCATAAATATGATTCAAAGCATCTAACACATTGCTTTTGACAATGTACTTTTACAATGCACTGTTTTTTTCTTACTTTAAAAAAATAATTTACTCAGGTCTACCAGATCCTCCTAGTCATGTACAAATTGAGGCTGGACCTCAAGATGGTATGTTATTGATAACATGGCTTCCAGTACCACAAGATAAAGGAGCAGCTGATGCTATTAAAGCTGCTGGTGCTGGGAATAGTTTACCAGTACAAGGATATACTGTTTGTTTAAATGGTCAACCGATAATGGAATTGAATGGAGCTTCAAGTAAGTGAATTGTTTCTGCTTTTTAAGTAGAAGAAATATTATTATCAATTAAAAAATTAATTTAACATGCGTCTTTCTTGAAACAATCTGGGATTATATTAAAGTAGGTTGGAAGAAAGCCTGAGGGCGGCCAAACCAAAACATGGCACAAATCCATGAAGTCACTGACAACTGGATTGAGTCATGTTGGTAGATGTGGGCTACCTGGTTTGGGGTTCGCGAGATGATAGTAATCGATGTTTAGAGATCTGGAATGACATGGCTCAAAATCGTTTGCAATGGCGCAGGTGTATTCATTCTTTATGTTCTCTCAAATTCTAACTTTCCGAGTACCTTATCACCTTTATATTTCTATTTATAAGTTTATTTAACTAGATTATACTTCTTGAATGATATCATCGTACTCTTATCTCTCCGATTACTTTCAATATTTCTACTACCTCTACTACTATGGGATTTGAATTGACAGTTGCATCTCTTTGCTAATGTGGTATGGTAACCTGGTCAGTCAGTCAGTCAGATGCAACGTAGAACTTCCGACGTAAGTACATCAGTTCATGTTGCCATACCACATTAGCACACAGAGATATAATTGTCAATTCAAATCTATTAGTAGAAGAGGTAGTAAAGGTATTAGAAGTAATCAGAGAGGTTAGGATTAGAAGATATTATTCAAGAATTATAATTCAGTGAGAAAAGTTTAGAAAGTCAAAACTAGAAGTGTCGAAGAATCCAGAAGATTAGGATTTGAGAGAACACAAAGAATAAATGCACCGGCGCCATTGAAAACGGTTTCGAGCCATGACATTCAGAGTCTCTAACCATCGATTATGATCATCTCGCGGACATCAACTAGGTAGTCGACACCTGCCGACATGGCTAAGTCCACTCGTCAATGACTTCATGCATTTGTGCCATGTTTCGGTCTGACCGCCCCTAACTTTCTTCCAACCTATTCCTACATTAGAAAACGAAGCTCTTCGAGGCAGTCGGTGGTTAGGCATGCGCAACACATGTCCCAACCACCTCAACTGATGAAGTATAACCACTTCATCTATTGAACTGCCATGCTTACCTAGTATCCGGGGTTTCAGGAGACCAGAAATGACGTTTCGTGAACTCGCTTCGTTTGCATTAGCTGTACAGTGTGATAAAGGAATGTGAGAAGAGTTAGTCATGGAGATAAGAGAGATATTAGGAGGTGTAGGAAGGGTTTGATTGTGACCAATTTGGTCTCGTATGCTGTTACAGGTATGAGGGCGGTTGTCACTTCCCGGCTGCCCACACCGTGGAAGGTTGTTTCTTGAGAGATCTGAAAAGGAAGATAGATTACTGTTGGTCGTTGAGACCTGGGAGCGTGACCGCACAGCCCAAGGGACATAATTTCTGATTACTGCTAATACTTCTACTACTATAGGATTTGAACTGACAATTACATCTCTGTGCTAATTTAGTATGGCAACCTGGACTGATGGGCGTATGTACGAAATTCTACGTTGTAATTGACTGACTGACCTTTTTTAAAACAGAATAACTAATTTAAATCATGATAAAACACAATACCTTTATTTATATAGTTTCTGGAGAGAAAAAAAAGAGCACTATGCACAGACTTCAATGTTCTTTCTAATTCAACCTAACTGTATAAATACGCATTATCTGTAACATTTTATGACCCGAACCTGGACCCGGATTCTCAGTCCGGGGTCTGTGTCTTCTTCTGGACTCGGGCCTCGTACTTTCTGGATGCTTGTAGAATACATGTTCTAGTACATATCAAGTTTTCTCTTATTCAATGTATGTTTGGGACAATCGGATTAGGATTAGCCTGCCGTGTCAGCGGATCCTCGATCCTCGCTCTCGTTTTCCGACTAAGGTAAACTCATAATAGTTCAAGTATATCAAAATGTCATGCTTACTTGAATGCGTATATATATATATATATATCTGTTAGTCAAAAAAATAGTATAGTTTTATGTACTGAACAACTGACTAAAGGTTCTTATAAACCTGTCAAGTAGACCGTCACATTAACTCTTCCAAGTTGAATTTTCCTTCCTTTTATCTTGAACTGAACTCAGTTTCCTTAGAAATAATTCTTGAATATAACAGAAACTGGGTCTTTAAAGTTTGATGTGTGCGAATTAAACTTAAATTTCGTTGTATTCAAGGCCTATTTCAATAACACTAATCCTTTCAATACAGCTACTCTATGCGCTAACGATGATTAATGATTATTTCTTGGACCACTTAATCGGCTCACTTGTGACTAGATTCCTGAGAAAATTCTCAGAGTTCTAGTGAAAAACTGTGACCAGTGGAGTTCTACCCCGTCAGTTGAAGACAATGGTTGAGATTGTGCGAAATCCTTAGATTGATCAGAGTTAAACGTTGACATTGTTGAATACCGCCTGCCCAGTGGTTTAAAGGTTAAACATATGCGCTCAAGACCAAAGGTCCTGTGTTCAAATCCTGTGACTAGCAGGAGTCGTGGATGTGCACTATTGATGAGTCTCATACTAGGACGAGTCGGTTGTCCAGCTCTTTCAGGTATCCAATGGTGATCTAACAATGATTTATTAATGATTAGTTGAAATAATCTTTTAAGGCAGAGTTTTGGAGGTTTTGTGTTTTTACACATTTGAAATCATCAATCAATCATTGTTAGACCACCATTAGAAACCTGAAAGAGCACTAGACGGCCGTTTCGTCCTGGTATGTAACTCATCAGCAGTGCGCATCCATGATTCCTGTTCCTCGCAGGATTCTAACCCGGGACCTTCGGCATTGTAGGCGAACGCCTTACCATCGGACTACTGGGCCTGCATCCAGCGGTGTTAATGTCTAACTCTGATTGGTCTGCGGATTTTGCGCGACCTTACGCATTTGTCTTTGGTAGTTACTGCCTACACCCGACAGGGTTGAACTCCATTGGTTACGTCCTGCGAGGAGCAGGAGTCGTGGGTGCGCCCTGCTGATGAGTCCCATACCAGGACGAAACGGCCATCCAGTGCTTCCAGGTTTCTAATGGTGGTCTAACAGTGATTGATTGATGATTTGAAATAATCTTTGTTAGCTGAATAAAAAAAATGCTTTACTTATATAAATATAACAAACAAAGAGATATATACATATATATAATCTCTTTCTTTCTTTCGCCTTAATCATTTTTACAAATAAGGACATCTTATTAGTAGTTCAATTTTGATAGTTTAATATTAACATATTAATTATATTTTTTTCTTATCATTCTGATGATGTTTTGTACACTCATTTTTCATGAGATTTTCATCAATTTCTTTATCATCATACATACATACATATTCATCTTTGTTTATTTTACATGAAAAGCCAATTAAAAATGATTATTATTATTATTATTATTACTATTACAACACGTTAGGGGCGGCCAAATCAAAACATGGCAGAAATCAATGAAGTCATTGACTAGTGGACTTAGCCAAGTCGGTAATTGTCGACTACACCAGGTTGGGGTCCACGAGATGATAATAATCGATGGTTAGAGACCTTGAATGACATAGCTCAAAATCGTTCGCAATGACGCCGGTGCATTTATTCTTTGTATTCTCTCAAATCCTAATCTTCTGGGTTCTTCAACACCTCTACTTTTGACTTTCTAAACTTTTCTCATTGAATCATACTTCTTGAATAATATCTTCTAATCCTAACCTCTTCGATTACTTCTAATACCTTTACTACCTCTTCTACTAATATTCGATTTGAATTGACAATTACATCTCTGTGCTAATGTGGTATGGCAACATGAACTGATGTACTTACGTCGGAAGTTCTACGTTGCACCTGATTGACTGATCGATTACAACACGTATAAATCTATTGATTAGAACATATTACTTCAATGTAAACAGTTTTTTTTCTTTTTATTCAATGTGACCTTTCAACTCAACCAATAATGAATTTGCATGACGGGGTTGTGAAGATTGTTAAAATACACATTTTTTGAAACCATGAATCGATCAATGTTAGACCGCCATTAGAAACCTGGAAGCACTGATAAACGGCCGTTTCGTCCTAGTATGGGACTACTCATCAGTAGTGCGCATCCACGACTCCTGCACCACGCAGGATTCGAACCCAGGACCTTCGGTATTGCGCGAACGCCCTAACCGTTAGACCACTGGGCCGGCGTTCGCTCACAATACCGAAGGTGCTGGGTTCGAATCCTGTGGGGTGTAGGAGTCATGGATGCGCACTGATGATGAGTCCCATACTAGGACGAAGCGGCCGTTTATCAGTGCTTCCAGGTTTCTAATGGTGGTCTAACATTGATCGATTCATGGTTTCAAAAAATGAATAGGGAATTTCTTTTGTAGTTAACATTATTCAATCGATTTAAAAATCCACTGTTTTCAATTTATGTCATAGTTTAAAATAGCCAGAATGTTTATTTAGTACTTATGATTATCAAATTATAACTGTAGAAACGATGAATTGATTACTATTAGGAACCTAGAAACATTGGATGACCGTTTCAGCCTACTATGAGACTCATTAGTAATGCATTCCCACATTGACCCGCACATACACGGGAACTGAATCTAGGATATTTGTTCTTGTGCGTGTAAGCTTATCCTATAGACCACTGATTTGATATTGAACGGTGTTAAGACAGACAGATACAACACAGAACTTCGCACGTAAGTACATCAGTTCAGTGTTGCCATGCCATATCAGCACAGAGACGCAACTATCAGTTCGAATCCAATAGTGGTAGCGATAGTAGAAGTATTAGCAGTAATGGAGAAGATTAGGGAGCGAAGATATGATTCGAGAAGTATAATTCAGTAAGATAAATTTAGAAGGAGAAAGATAGAGATTATAAGGAATTCAGAAGGTTAGAATTAGAGAGAACACAAAGAGTGTATGTGTAGTGAATGAGAACACAGGTGGGGCAACCGAATTGTAATTAGCGAAAATTACAGAGTTACTCAGTAAAATCGGAAAACCATATCGTAAATCGTTCATTTGCAAAAGATCAGTTCATCATATAGAACTGGACTGTTCCTGTTGCCAAACATCAATTCATTGTCACTATTCATGCGTTTCATACAAATTCCATTGTTTTCTAACTCTTCCTTTCTTGATCTTCCCCACATATTATGCTACCAGACTTTACGTTGACACTCACGTCATATACTACTTATAAGTAGTTCGCACCACAGCACCACAGATGTATCTGCGCCATGGCAAACGATTTTGAGCCATGGCGTTCAAGGTCTCTAACCAACAGTGACTTTCGTCTCGCGGACCCTAACCAGGTAGCCTACATCTACCAACATGACTCAGTCTGCTTGTCAGTGACTTTATGGGTTTCTGAGATGTTTTGGCTTGGCCGCCCCTGGCTTTCTTCCAACCTACTACAATATAACTCGTTTGGGTCATCACGATAGGCAAGCTCGACCACCACGTCAAGGTAGCAGCTTCGGTCGGGTGAACGGTGTTAATGTCTAATTTTGTTCAATCCACGGTATTTCGCGACATCCTGACCGTCGTGAGGAAACTCTCGGGGTCCTAGTGAGGTAGTTAACCGCCGAATACAATATATGAGGACGCGCCCTTCCGTGAATTGATTGAACACAGTTGATTAACACAGTTGGATGCCACCGGCTTAGTGGTCCAGATGTTAGGCGTTCGAGCGTGAGACTGAAGGTCCTAGGTTTGATTTTCTCGGTAGGTAGCAGTGGGTGAGCACTTTTAACGAGTCCCATATTTGGAATAAGTGGCAGGCCAAGGCAACCAAATTTCTAATAGTAATCTAGCTGAGACCAGTTAGTGATTTCAGTAACGAAAATGATGTCATCTCCATAAATCCCTTTCATCAGTTACCAATAAGGCACTCAGGAATCTATCAGAGTCAGTTAGAAGATAAATAGAAATCTATCAAAGACAGTTCATCACCTACATTTTCTCTATAGTACATTATTTTTTATGAGATATTTAAAGACGTTCAAACAATTTGTGTATGTAAGAGATGTGGGAGTGAAACAATTTAAAGTATACGATGAAAATCATCAATCAAAATTTCTAGACTGTGAGCCATTCATCAGTGTTATTCAATTTTTGACCTTTGGGTTCGAGTTGATCACTGGTTATATAACCTAATTCGTACGCTCTTATAGATAATTAAAAATTCCCATTGTGTAAAATTGGGATAACACATATCAAGCGAACAATATTGCTTTTTTTAATTAGATCGTCATCAGGCTTTACCCTCTAACATACATGAATACTTATATAATGATCAGATTGAAATAGATTACGTAACTTCACAGTTGATAGTAGGAAGATAGGTGTACTGTTATTGGTAAGCATATTAAAATACAATATATAGACAACTAAATTATTGAAATCATAAATCAAACATTAGAAACCTGAAAGCATTAAAACAGCCGTTTCATCCTAGTATGAAACTTATCAGTTGTGCTCAGTCGTCTAGAGATCTGTTGGATAGGTTAGATCCCCAGAACTCGCTTGATAAATGCCTTATCTTCGATTTCGTCTTTGCGAGCATAGGCTGATCAGATGACCTTGAGATTTCATTTCCCACCAGGAAAATCCATGGCTGTGATTGACTGCTGTGTATTTTAGTGTGCACTTTTCGTAACTGTCCCAAGGACGTTTCTCTGATGTATAAATAAACGAGAGTTGTGTGCTTGAATTCATTGTGCTTACTGGGTGTTTTGTAGAATATACTTTCTACGCTTACCAAGCCTTCTGTTTACAGCTTGGTATTCAAGGTAGCCTTGTCTTGTTCGCGTTTATCGACTAAGGTGAACTCATAATAGCTTCAAGCATACCTAGTGACGAACATAACAAGATCAAGCATTCACGCCCAAGACCAAAGTTCTTAGATTCGATTCTAACTTGTAGGGTCGTTCAATCTCACAGATGAAGATTCCCATACTAGGATGAAACGTCCGCCAAGTACTTCCAATTTTCTAATGGTACAGTCTTAACACTGATCCAACCATTAGTTCAATGAAACTTAACAATCTTCATTACTTAATCATATGAAATTATCAACTGAAAATATCTTTACGACAACATTAAAACATAAATCTCATTTCAAACTTATTTAACCCAGCTCAATGTTTAATAAAAAATTTTTAATCAATAACAGTCAGTCAGACAGTCAGATGCAACGTAGAACTTCGTACGAAAGTACATTAGTTTATGTCGCCATACCACATTAGCACAGAGATGTAATTGTCGATTCAAATCCAATAGTAGAAGAGGTAGTAAAGGTATTAGAAGTAATCGGAGAGGTTAGGATTAGAAGATATTATTCAGGAAGTATGATTCAGTGAGAAAAGTTTAGAAAGTTGAAACTAGAGTTGTTGAAGAACCCAGAAGATTAGGATTTGAGATAACACAAAGCATAAATGCACCGGCGCCATTGCGAACGATTTTGAGCCATGTCATTCAGGGTCTCTAACCATCGATTATTATCATCTCGCGGACCCCAACCAGGTAGTCGACAATTACTGACATGGCTAAGTCCACTCGTCAATGACTTCATGGATTCCTGCTATGTTTTGATTTGGCCGCCCCTAACTTTCTTCCAACCTACTCCCCCTACACTACAAAACAAAGTTCGTCGAGGCAGTCGGTGGTTAGGCATACGCAACACACGTCCCAACCATCTCAACTGATGAAGTTTCATTACTTCATCTATTGATCTGTCATTCTTACCTAGCACCCGTTTCCTAATAACAGCGTTGCTCACTCTGTTATCCCACGATATACGAGCAATGCTTCGAAGACACATATGATCGAAAACCAGTAATCTACGAATATCTTCTACTCTCACTGGCCATGTTTCACAGCCATAAAGTAAGACGGAGCGAACTACTGCGCAGTACACTCACCCTTTAGTCAGCAAACGGATATCACGTCTACGCCATAAGTGACGCAAGTTGGCAAACGCCAATCGAGCCTTCTGTATCCGATCTGAGATTTCGTCAGTCACCAATTGATCAAATAAATTTTTTATCCTAAACTGTGTGTTCTTTTTTTACTCGATTTTTCCTTGAATCATAATTTTTTTTTCATTCATCATATTAACAGGAGATCATGCCATATTGAAATTATCAACAATTCGAGATCATATTCAAAAATTAATCAATAATTCAACAACACAACAACAATCACCCATTACTACTTATGATAACAATAATAATAGTAGTAGTTGTAGTAATATTCATTCCAATAAATTTTCTACTAGTCATCATTATCATCAATCAACCATCATTGAATTATACATCACTGTGCATTCAACTGTTCCAACTGAATTAACATGTGAACATGCGTTGAAATTGAAAAATTCCACCAAACAATGTACCACTACTACTACTACATTATTGAAAGGATCTGAAGGTCCTGCATCGAAACCAATACGTTTAACTGCATGCCTATTGATTGCTGCTGCTGGTTCACTTGAAACAGCTTATACAGTGTTTGGTCCAAATCTTGCAACAAAACTTGGTATTGTAAGTTAGTTGATTGATTGATTGATTGATGGTATCAATGTGTTTCATTGATTTTAACGTTGATTGCATGAAGTGAATTGGGTTTGAATAACAGGTTTAATCAATAGAATTCTATTCGAATAGTCAATGGATAGTTCTCTCTTTGGGATTCCAAAAAAATCTTGAGGTTTCGGGTCTGCAAGATGATAATAATCGATGGTTTAAGAGACCCTGAGTGACATGGCTCAAAATTGTATGCAATGGCGGAGGTGCATTTACTGTTTGTGTTCTATGAAATGCTAACCTTCTGAATTACTGATCACCTCCATCTTTCTCTTTATAAATTTACCTTACTGAATAATACTTCTTGAATAACATCTTGATACGCATGCACGTAAACACGTCAACTATTACGAGTTTACCTAGTCGGAAAACGAGAGCGAGGATCGAGGATCCAGTGACACGACATACTACTCAAATCCGATTATCCCAGCCTCCCATATTGAGTAAAAATAAGAAGACTTGATATGAAGTAGAACATTTATTCTACAAGCATTCAGAAATTACGAGGTCCGAATCCAGAAGAGAATCAGGATCCTGTACTAGGGGATACGGGACCGGGTCCTGGTCCTGGTCCTGGTCATAAAACGTTACAGATAATGCGTATTTATAAATTTAGGTCGAATGGGAAGCAGCATCGAAGTCTGTGACATTGACAGTTAAGACGACCAATAGGAAGCAACATTGGAGCACGTGACATTGATATCTAGGACGACCATAAAATTGACCAGTAGAAATTAACCAATAATTGTCTTAGGATATTGGATGAATATCCTAACACATCTTCTAACTCTAATTTCACCGATTACTTCTAATAATTTTACTACCTCTACTACTATGGGATTCGAAGTGACATTTGTATCTCTCTATGCTAATGTGGTATGGCAACTTGAACTGTTGTACTTGTGTGCAAAGTTCCACGTTGCTTTTGATGATGAAGTTTATATTCTGGTAGAGTTTTCTGATAGATGTCAACTTAAAGGAAATCTAAGGTCCACATATTTTTATCACTTACCTCTCAATATCTGATATTCATTAGAGTGCAAAATGATGCCTGCGTCAACATTTCTTGTAGCAAAAATGTTATTTAAGTACTGAGATATCCGTTTGCTAACTAAAGGACGAGTTTACTGTTCAGTAGTTCGCTCCGTTTTACTTTATGGTTGTGAAACATGGCCAGTCAGAGTAGAAGATATTCGTCGGTTATTGGTTTTCGATCATAGGTGTCTTCGAAGCATTGCTCGTATATCCTGGGACACCCGAGTGAGCAACGTTGTTATTAAGAAACGGGTGCTAGGTAAGAATGGCAGATCAATAGATGCAGTAATGAAACTTCATCAGTTGAGGTGGTTGGGACTTGTGTTGCGTATGCCCAACCACCGACTGCCTCGAAGAGCATTGTTTTGTAGTGTAGGAATAGGTTGGAAGAAAGTTAGGGGCGGCCAAACCGAAACATGGCACAAATCCATGAAGTCATTGACAAGTGGACTGAGTCATGTCGGTAATTGTCGACTACACCAGGTTGCGGTCCACGAGATGATAATAATCGATAGTTAGAGACCCTGAATGACATGGCTCATAAACGTTCGCAATGTCGCCGGTGCATTTATTCTTTGTATTCTCTCAAATCCTAATCTTCTGGATTCTCCAACCACTCTAGTTTTGTCTTTCTAAACTTTTCTCATTGAATCATACTTCTTGAATAATATCTTCTAATCCTAACCTCTCTGATCACTTCTAATACCTTTACTACCTCTTCTACTGTTGGATCTGAATTGACAATTACAATTACGTTCTACATTGCACCTGACCTGACCTATTTAAGTACTGAATTATATTTAAACCTGATTACATAAGAATGATGACTGACAATTTAATGTCATGTGAATGAGTAAGATGTAGTATTTTATTAAAACCTACTGAATTTCTAATAAAATAATATCTAGTTAACTGAATGTACTTGCATTCCGTGGGTGAGACTCGGACACAATAAGAATCGCTTAAAACACCATCGTCATGTTCACTGAGTCATTGAATACAGACATCTGTTGATTGGCCAATGTTGTGAAGTTGAATTCATTTGTATTGGTTGGTTGAATCGTCTCATTGACAGTTAGGACTCCAACTAATATGTCATATCTCGAAACACTGGATAGCCTTTTTTCCTAGTAAGGGACTCACCAGCAGTGAGCATGAACGAACTCACGGGTAGGAATCGAACCTTTGACCTTCGGTATTGTGCACGAATGCATAACCTCTAGACCAGTAAGCACAGCTGATGAGCTCCATACTTGTACAAAACGGCCTTCTAGTGCTTCCAGGCTTCCGATGGTGATCTAACAATGATCGATTCATGATTTTAATGAAACTCAAAAATCTTCATAACTTTATATTGAAAACCATAAAATATGTTCACTAGTGACTAGCTTCTAGTTCTCAGTCAGTTAGTCAGTCAGTTACAATGTACAACTTCTTAATTACGTACATCAGTTCAAGTTACCATACCACATTAGTACCCAGAGATCCAATTGTCAATTTAAATCCCACAGTAGTAGATGTAGTAGACGTATGAGCAATGATACGAAAGATTAGGGTTCGAAGTTTTGATTCGAGAAGTATAGTCGAGTGAAATGAACTGAAAAAGAGAAATAAGATCTTGAGGAATCCAGAAGGTTAGAATTTGAGAGAACACAAAGAGTGGATGCACCGGCGCAATTGCAAACGATTCTGAGCCATGTCATTCATAGTCCCTAACCATCGGTTACTATTGCCTCGCGGACCCCAACTTGGTGATCTACACCGACTAACATGGCTTAGTCCGCTTGTCAGTAACTTCCTGAATTTGCTCCATGTTTTGCTCTGGCCGCATCTAGCTTTCTTCCAAAATGATGAAGTTTTAATACTTCGTCTATTGATCTGCCATCCTTACCTAGTAAAACCGTTTCCTAACAACAACATTGTTTACTCGGTTGTCCTATGGCACACAAGCAATGCTTCGGAGACACCTATGGTCGAAAACCAGAAACCTACGAATATCTTCTACTCTGACTGACCATGTTTCACAGCTATAAAGTAGGACAGAGAGAACTGCTGCACAGTAAACCCGTCCTTTAGCAAGCAGGCAGATATCTCGATTACGTCACAGATGACGCAAGTTAGCAAAAGCCAATCGAGCCTTCTCTATTTGCGCGGAAATTTCATCAGTCACTAAGCTATCAGCACTGATGAGACTCCCAAGATAACTGAAGCGGTCAATACGTTCAGTTACTTCACTCGCCATCACTACACCTCATAACACCTCTCAGAGTCATAGTCAAAAGTCACAACTAGTGGAGTTAGCGCTATAAAGTGTGAAGTAGTGCACCACAGAGACAGTGGTTGATGTGAAGTGAATGAAGTAAGATATTAACACCGTTGGTCTAAAAGTCAGTCATTCTGGCTCAAATTCTAAGGTCCTAGGTTCGATTCCCACGCGTGCCGAGATAGTGGACTCACACTGCTGACGAATCCAATACTCAGAAGAAACGGCTTATCAGTACTTACAAGTTCCTAATGTCTAATGGTCTAACATTGATCAATGCATTCATTCACTAAAACAATCTTTACAACTCTATCAATGAAATGTTATTCCTTTAGTTTATATCGGTGCATTCATGCTTTGTGCTCTCTCAAATCCTAATCTTCTGGATTCTTCAACACCTCTAGTTTTGACTTTCTAAACTTATCTCACTGAATCATACTTCTTGAATAATATCTTCTAATCCTAACCTCTTCGATTACCTCTATCATACCTTTGCTACCCCCTTCTACTATTGGATTTGAATTGACAATTATATCTGTGTGTTGATGTGGTATGGCGACATGAACAGATGTACATACGTACGAAGTTCTACGTTGCATCTGACTGACTGACTGACTGACTGAGTTTATATTGTGAGATTGAAAAATTATGATCAATATAATTTCCAATTAGAAATTCTTTCAAATAAACAAATTACAACGTCAACAACAACAACAACAACAAGAAAAAAACAAGACAAACTTAGCGTAAACATTATTCGTGTTGGTATTTTTCATTTATTTATTCATAATTTTTTAAAAAGAAATAATTGTTTTATTGAAATCAAAGGTGAAAAGGGAATTTTTTGTTTGCAGTTATTTTCGCATAAAATTTAAAAAAAAAAGGAAAAAGTTGAATTATTCATTTCTTGTTAATAATCTAAGTGATGAATTATCGGGGGGTTTATTGTTGATTTGAACAGTTTGTTAATTAGTTTGTTTGTTCTATTTTTCGCGAGTTTTGAAAGCATCAAAATTAAACATGATCCTAAAAAACACTCAGTTATATTATTTGTACATATGTATATGGCTTAATTACTTTCGCCTGTTACACCCAATGGAGAATAGGCAGCCGACCAGTTTTCTCCAACCAACTCTGTCCTGGTCCTCCCTTTCCAGTCCTGTCCAGCTTTTATTCATTCTTCTTCTTATGTCTTTCTCTATTTCTCGGCGTAATGTGTTCCCCGGCCTTCCTGTTTTCCTTTTGCCTTGAGGGTTCCATGTGAGAGCTTGTCTTGTGACGCAGTTAGGTGCTTTTCGTAGTGTGTGTCCTATTCACTTCCACCACTTCTTCCTGATTTCCTCCTCCACTGGAATCTTGTTTGTTCTCTCCCACAGTTCGTTGTTGCTGATGGTGTCTGACCAACGAATCCGAAGTATTTTGTGTAGACAACTGTGAATAAACACTTGTATCTTCTGGATGATGGCTTTGGTAGTTCTTCTCCAAGTTTCCACTCCATACAGTAGAATTGTCTTGACATTTGTAATGAATATCCTGATTTTGGTTTTGGTTGATATTTTTTTGGAGTGCCAGATATTTTTCAATTGTTGTTATAACCGCTTGCTTAAATAATTCCCAGCTAAATCCTATTGCTTAGTATTCTCTGATCTTTAATACACTGGACA